ACAACTAAATTCATTAATGGGTGCCATGATGAGACTAGAAGAATCAATTTATTGGGGTGGAGAGCATACTGACATACATTGGAGTTGGACCGTTGGTGCATTAAATTCTGGAGTTAAAATAGTTAGAGAAATACTTCTTGAAAATTTAATGGGTGATAAATGGTCTGAATTAAAGAAGTCAAGATTGTTAAAATATTAGAATGGAAATCTCGAGGCTTTTAAAGGTTGTTGAAGTGTATGCTTATTTTGTACATTATTACTGTATTAGTTAGAATAATAATAGTAGTCAAAATTTCTAAGTTATATAATTTTTTAAATTTTTAAATAATCTTAGTATTATTTAAAAATTATTAATAAAAATTAAGATTTTATTTGATTTTATAATACATATATATGCCAATAATTTAAGGGTAGGGTGTCACTATTTCCAAATTCATCTAAAATAGATTGTAGATCAATATAGTGTAACCAATATCATATAGTATCATATGATTTACATGTAAACAACATGTGATTTGACCAATCAGAATTAGCAGATCTTTGTACAGTGCAAGCATCCTTAAATCAACATATAAAATACATAATCTTTAAAAGCTTATAAATCAAATCTCTTCGTAAAATAATAAAATCAAACCTAAAGAACAAAATTACAACGTTTATTTTTTAAATTAATTAGCATTTAATAGAGTTATTTCTTTTTAAAGTTAGCCTACTTTATTAATTAAATTAAAAATTTGGCCACCTTAATTTTGGCCAAAATTACTAATAATATATTTTTAATTCTTTAACTGGCCAAAATTTTTATTAATAAATTTTTTTATTAAAATTTATTAAATATAAAAGTATGCTATATTTAATATTATAAAAATTTAAGCTCTCTCTCTCTAATACATAATTCTAATATATACTTATACTATCCAATCATATTGATTTATTTTTGTGTAACATGACTCAAAATTTGGCCGATATATTTATGACTTATTTAAGGATTCCCGCACTGCACTACCTAGGAAAAACATATAGCGACCTAGGAAAATTTTGATTATATGAGAAGTTGATTTTTTTAAAACAATATACATTGCACAACTTCACTATTATATATTAAATTAATATTTTCCTTTTTAATCATTGGTAAGAAAGCATTAGGTAATCGTTGCATTCCTTTATCAATAGTACTCCAGTTTATCTCATAGTTAGGACTGCTAAAGGTATATGCATCAATAAAAAGAGAAACAAAACCATAATGACGGTATTCACCTAATATAAACAGTATATAATAAAATTATTTATAATCATTATACAGTAACTGAATAAACAGTTAAGTAATAGTTATATCCTGGGCAGGTGGGTATAAGTGGGGCTAAAAGTCCCGCTTATACACATAGTGCCCAGGGTATAACTGATTTATGCCCTGCGATCTTGATATAGTGACCAGTGTATAAAGTATAATAGTATTGTAGCGATTCGGGCTCAATACAGCATGACAGAAACTTAAGACTAGAATAAAATCGCAAGAATCAATTATCAGACATATCTACCAACTATTTATATAAAGTTGATTTTTAATTTTTAAACATTGAATCTAAGGTAGGCTCAATGTTAGATGCTAAATCTGAACCAGAAACTAGACATCTTGGAATTTTGTAGAATAAAACTTTAGAACTTTTATTTCATTC